AAAAAACTTCTGATTGGCTCGATTTCGTCTCCACGAAATTCCATTGGCTAAGAGCCCATACCGGAAAACCTCTGATTGGCTTGATTTTGGCTTCGCGAAATCCCATTGGCCAAGAGCCTATAAGGAAAAACTTCTGATTGGCTCGATTTCGGCTTCGGCAAATCCCATTGGCTAAGAGCTCATATTGGAAAACCTCTGATTCGCTGGATTTCGGCTTCACGAAATCCCATTGGCTAAGACTTCATATGGGAAAACCTCTGATTGGCTGGATTTTGGCTGCGCCAAATCTCATTAGCTAAGAGCCCATATCTGAAAACCTCTAGTTGGTCTAGTTTTGGCTTCGCAAAATCCTATTGGCTAAGAACCCATATCGAAAAACCTCTAGTTGGCTCGATTTTGCCTCCGCGAAATCCCATTGGCCAAGAGCTCCTATCGAAAAAACGTCTGATTGGCTGGATTTGCTCTGCGCATAATCCCATTGGGTGATACCCGACCTCGGAAAACCCTTGTTGACACGGGGAGTGAATTGTTCTCTACGTTTTCACAAGGAACTCTGCTGAAGGTTAAAAAAACATTTTTTCGTTCTGTGCGAACGAACGAACGCAGTTACGAAGTTACGAAGTTACGAACATACGAACCTTGCTCCGTGTATGACCCTCGTTTCAGTAGAGGGGAAAATGAAACTGTGATTGATGAATTGCCGTGGAAGCAGATGAGCAGTGTTATAAGCTTTCACACACAGCACTGATTCCATCCATTGTAGAGGTATCTGTAAGGTTTCTGGTTGACAGCAACAAACGCATCTTTCCTTTTTTCATCCTTTAAAATGTACTTATCCCCGTGAATCATCATCATGTATGTTGATAATGATAGCAGAACTGTCGAAACGTTGATATAAAACAATATATTAATTTATTAATAAAATTCTTTATTAAATAATAAAATAAAATTTCATCAAATAATCAAAAGAATAAAATTCTATTTGATCATTAAAAAATTAAAACCCCATTGAAAAACTTATCATATTTATCCTGATTTTGTTATTCATAGAAAAAAAAATTTAAATTAGATATTCTTTATATAAAGGAAGATAAATAGCATATCAAATCATACACATTATTTACGAAACAATAGTTCTTAGTTAAGTGCGAGTTCGGTTGAGCTCGTCAGTAGAGTACGGAATTGTTTTCAGCAAAATATACATGGCTATCAGCGTTCATGAGTGTTTGCGACGGATTGATTACAGCCAGAATTTTGCATCCCATCTGGCCATGCACATAATCTTTAGTACCAGCCACGAAGTGTGAGATTTCGTGAATAAGTATACTAGCCTTCGAGTCAGTACCTGTCACTGGAGCCGACCAAAATAGAGGACATAAGTAAATTTTGTATGGCTGGTTCGGATAACTGTAAGCATAAGCGTCGCGTATGGTGCATCCACAATTGAGAGTTATAACCTGTGAATCAAGCACGTTTTTGATATTTTGGTAGTGTGTCCTTAAAGTATTCCAGTTCGCCAATATATATGTACCAAACTAAGTCCTATAGCGACTTGTGTCAGCGGGTATCGTGATTCTCAAATAACTTAAAGAATTACTGGCATAGTCAACAGCCGAAGAGACCGCAGAGACAATTTGAGATTTCTGGGTTATCGAACAAGAAACACAGTAAAGAGTTGCTGCTCTTTTATGCACATTCATAATGTTATCTTGTTCGCGCTGAATATTAGGACGACCTTCGATAATCAATTGAATACTATTCGACTCGATGTCGGATTCGTGGTCACTAATGGGCTCGACAGATATAGTATTCAATGTTTGAGCATCTCTGAAGATAACAAGCTCAGTTGGCATACTGTATTGGATTGAATATTTGCAAGTCTTAGTCATATCGTATGCTGATGATAGTCGAACTGGAATGACTATAACTTTGCCAGGTGCTAGTGAGATCACATCATCAGCGGTTGGTGTGCGTCGTTTGACCAGTGGATCGAGATAATCAACAGCAGCATCATTACAGATTACTTTGAATAATGGATCATATAATTCCTTCTCTAGTACACACCATTTATGAATATATATTGTTTCGTTACCAGTGTTGCTGTAGTGTACGTTCACTACTATGTCCTGTGTTTTATCATGTATCGAACGTGGTGAAACTATTGAAACTTGCAAGTTGCCTGCATAGACGTTAACTACCATCATTGCAATTGAAATGTATAAAACGATATGTTGCTGGTTCATAGTTACTTAATGTTTTGCAATCTACTTGTATGTGAGTACTTTGTTTGAGTATACACAAAAAAGACGGTACACTACTCTTATATATGAGATGAACTATAACGCTCCTCTACCAAAGCATGACTATCCTACCTGTTTTCATTGATTCTCACCATCAATTGTAGGTGTTTCTATATGATGTGCTAAGATATTATGAGTTATTTGCAATATATCTCGTAAGAGAATGGCAACATTTTCTCGAATGACTTACACACTAATGACGTAAGTAATAATACGCAGCATGCTCATTGATGCATAACATAAACAGAGTGATAGGAAAATATGACACATATTATTTCATCAAATGAGCATTAGTAGTCTCTAAGTAACAAAAATATCGAAGGTGAATTAGAGACTCTGATTCATCATATATAGAAGTTACTTAGGCTTGAGCGTTTGATTATTTAAACCAGCAATATTTGTGACATTTATCTATATCATTTATCTTATTGATTGTAACTTTTATTAGTTTATCTTCTTTATTTTTAAAATAATCGACAATACAACTCTTCGTACTCATTGTGAGGCCTGTAGATATGTGAATTTCATACTCACATGCAAAAGCTAAACTCACACTACACACTAACGAGAATATTCGCATGATATTAGCGGATGTTATCAGAGAAGTCATTGAGAAATCAGACAGAGAATACAGCGGGTCTTATAAGTAGCACTACAATAAAAAATTCAAATAGCTTCACTCCGATTCAATCAAATGACCTGATTTTTTGAGCAGTGATAGAACTTAATTCAAAATTTCTTTTCATACAGATAATGCAAATAAATACGTTCCATTAAGTATTACTGTTGACTACACAAATGAAATTTTACCTGTTATCCAGTAACAAAAATATATGCGAAGCGTTTCTTCGATAATTTTCACTTGTCACCTAAGAGAACAGTCAGAAGAAATAAAAACTTCCTCGAAAAAACCAATGTTTCATGCTTAGAAATTCGAAATATTGTAACTGTTGACTCTTAAACTAAACACTCCTAGAAATTTGGTGTGTTTGCATTAAAGTTCTATTATTCATGAGGGAGTTTTTATTTCTTCTGGCTGTTCTCTTAGGTGACAAGTGAAAATTATCGAAGAAACGCTTCGCATGTATTTTTGTTACTGAATAACAGGTAAAATGTCATTTGTGTAGTCAACAGTAATACTTAATGGAAAGTATTTATTTGCATTATCTGTATGAAAAGAAATTTCGAATCAAGTTCCACCACTGCTCAAAAGATCAGGTCATTTGATTGAACCGGAGAGAAGCTATTTGAATTTTTTATCGTAGTGCTATTTATGAGACACTCTGTACTATAGATATATTATTGTATTGTCTCGTAATGAATAAGACCAAAATTCAAAAATTAGTATAATGCTATTTATTTAACTAATTTTAGCATTCAAAATCTCAATATGTTTTCCTTTATTTTGCATACATTGTATAGAATAAACTATTAAAGTAAATTGCATCATATATAAGAAAGAACAAATCAATTGTTGATTTTATACATTGTAAATGATAGTCATAATAGGAAATCCGTTTCACGTTATTACTTTAATAGAATCATCTTTTTCAAGTTTCTAAATACATATTCAACAAGACGACGAGTGTTATACAGCAAATATGACAAATTTTTCACCTTCAGATACAAATGCAATCGTAGAAAAATCAATGAATTTGGAACGAACACAACTAAAACTTTAACTTGCAAAGAATGTTCATGAAAAACTCGAAATCAAAATTTGTAATGAAGACTTTATTATTTATCCAAATATATTTTTTGGCACAGAATTTTTGGCTAAAGATTTAATTACAAATCATTTCTGAATTTCATGAAAAACCACTTAAATTTTTTGAAATTGGAACAGATGCTGGTTATGTGTCGGTGTTAGCTGTTTTAAATGTTGTATCAGATGCCACATGTACTGATATCAATAGCAATGCTCTTGAAAACGCAAAAAAATGTTATCAAACACAATATTACCGATCGAATAACTATTAAATATAGTGATGTTTTTAGTGCATTAAACTCTAATGGTAAATTTGATATTATTTTCTGCAATTATCCATTTAGTCACATTAATAAAACCTAATAGAAGAATTAGACTTATTAGAGTGAGCATTCATGGATTCATTCTATCAATCTCTTGATAAATATTTAAAGTATGCTAATGAGTATTTGATTTCCAACAAAGAACGATTATTTATTAGGTTTTCAATTACAGCTGTTGATCAATAAATTTTTGAATATATTGCCAAAAAAGTATAATTAGAATATTTATCTTAGAAACTAAATAAAATTAGATACAAATCCCGTCATGCAGATTGATATGTACGAACTGACAGAAGCTCAATAGAAAACAAAAACCACATTTGTTGTTTGAGCTTCATAATTTTCTACACTTAGCAGCTATTAACACTATCAATGCAATGTAAAATCAAAAGAAAACTTAGTACGAAAAAAAAGAAAGACTTGTGTTTGTTTTTTTTAAATTTATTGCAAATAAAAACGAACCATTGATGATAAAAAGAAGAAGATCTAAGAGTAAATATGCAGAAAAGAAAGTGGTAATACGTCAACAAATATAACAACAATGATAACGATAAATAATAATAATAATAATGTGTGTTTTTAATTGAAACATGAGAAAATAAGATAAAATTATTCGTCTGAAAATCAATAGAATAGTATCATAGAAACTGAACAATTCTGTTGTTTAGCTTATGCAGTAGTGACAGATTTAGCTAAATTTCTTGGACAATCAACATCATAACCACGTAAAACAGCAATATGAAATGAAAGTAATTGCATTGGTACAACACATAAAATACCTTGAAGACAATCAACTGTACGCGGTATAGCAATATGTCGAGATGTTAATTTTATTAATTCTTCATCATCTTCATTACAAATTATTATCGGTTGACCACCACGAGCTTGAACTTGTGAATATGCATTCATACATTTCTAAATATTTAATAAATCATAAGATTTCTAAAGAAAAAAAAATTAATTAACATACTGTTTTAACAGGATCATCCATAACAATCATAACAATTGGCATTAAATGATCTACCATAGCTAATGGACCATGTTTTAATTCACCTGCAAGAATACCTTCTGAATGCATATATGTTAATTCTTTTAGTTTCTAAATTTTTTAAATAGGAAAATTAGAAAAACAAAATAAAACAAAAATTGTCCAAATCTTACCAAAGCTCCTTCAAGACATGTTGCAAAATTAAAACCACGACCCATAACTAATAATGATGATTCTTTATATAAAGCTTCAGCATATTCACGTATTTTTTTATCACATTCAAGTACTTTTTTAATAAGATCTGCTAATTGTTGAAGACCATCAATAATAGCTTTACGTCTTGGTTCTTTTGAAATTGAATCTTCAGATAAGACGAGACCAAAAAGAACAAGAGCAAGAAATTGACTTGTATATGCTTTTGTACTTGCCACACCTAAACACATTCAAAATAGAAAGATTTTTTTTTAAAAACATAATTCAATTAATAGAGAACTACTTCAACTGAGCTCAGTTATGACTGTTTTACTGAAGTTTCATCTCATTTTTAGATATTTATTGAAGAATAAAAAACGTAACTTCGGCATGAAATTTCGATCACAGATAGGTCTGATGATTTTTAGAATATTCTGAAAGTATCAATCGTGGTCTCCTCATTATTATTATTATAGATCCTTTCTTACAGACAAAATTTTTCAATAATGAATCTATCAAGTCATGATTTAGATTTGCCTTACAAACGATCTCTGTGTAGGCAAGTTTTCCTAACAAGCAGTCAATTCACTTAATAGTCGTTTTTATGGTAAGCCTTTTCTTACAACCAGTCTTCTTGTTTAAGATACTGCTCAAACCTTCTATCAACGAGATCGATAATATTTCACATTTTAACCAACAGGAGGTTCTGTTGAAAACTTTTTCCAAACCTACCAATTTCAGGTCCAGCATTGATATGAACACCACAATGTGATTCACGTGAAATACTTGACCCGACTGTATTCGTAAAACCAACAATAAGTGCACCACGTTGTTTACAATAACGCAAAGCTAAGATTGTATCTGCTGTTTCACCTGAAGTAAATCAAATTTTTTTTTTCTAGAAAATTCTTTGAATAAAAAAACAGAAAAAAAATCCAACCTGATTGTGAAACAAAGATACAAACATCATCTCGAAAAACTGGTGTACTTCGATCAAGAAAATCCGAAGCAAGTTCAACCATAACTGGTAATTCAGATAATTCTTCAAGTAATTGTCTTGTAGCCACAGCTGAATGATAACTTGTACCACAAGCAATTAAAATTAAACGACGACAACGACGAATTTCATTAATATAATCTTTAATACCACCAAGTACAACTTTTTTTGCACTGAAATTTACACGACCACGCATTGTATTAACAACGGATTCTGGCTGTTCATAAATTTCTTTTTGCATAAAATATTTATAATTACCTTAGGAAGAACAAACAGAAAAACGAAAATTAAATTTTCAAAAAAACAAAAGAAATGAAATGAAATACCTTTCATAATTTGTTGTAATTCAATTTTAAGTTCATGAATTTCACGAATTGCTGATTGACCTGTTACTTCACCATGTTGTGTACGATGAATAGTTAATGCACCATTCTTAACAACAGCAAGATCATCATCTTCCATGAAAATAACTTGATTTGTATGTTCAATAATAGCACTAAGAAAAAGCAAACATTTTTTGTTTGTATCATCTATAAAGTCTGCTTGTTAAGTGTGCATTAAATATTACAAGAGTTTTTTTTCGACATTTGACATGAGATTAAAGTAAAAACGAACTTATTTTTCCTCTGCAGAAAGCACAGTGGTGTTCCTAGGCCGTCAGGATTGTGAAGGGTCGATGACTCAAGAGATCGATCAAAAGATTTTTGCTAATGTTGACTGAATTTGAAGGAGCAGATTATGCGGTTTTTATTAGGAATTGCTGAGCAAAAAATAATAATAAAACGCTGGAGGTCCATTAGAGAAAAACGAAAACTTTTCAAAATTTGAAGGGTCACTCTCCAATTCAGGACACTCCTGCGAAAACGTTTTTTTATACTGTTCCCGTATAATTGGGAAGAAAAACAATGATTCTTCTCTCCTGGGTACATAACTTCAGACATCTCTGTTATTTCAGATTGGACAAAGAATGGCTATTGTGAGATCTTGTCTTCGAAGAATTCTCTTCTCTATGTATGTTCTCCTCTTATTTACTTAGTTGTTTGGTATTTTTCCACTACGAAATGAATATGAAAAGGATAATTTGAGCCATTTCTATTTCACATGCCCAAAGAGAATATTAGAAGTATCATGCTAGAATGGCCATTTATTCTCATCGATATTCGAAAAAAGATCTATCGAAAATCTATGTAACAGTTACTGGAAAAAATATCAAAAAACATTGAACAATTTCATTGATGGATTGCTCCTTTTCAAGCAATTGGAAACTAATAAGAATAATTCAATTCCCAACATTTCCAAATATCTCTCTCTCCCTCTCTCGTATAGAATCGATTAAAAATCTTTTTGAAATATACCTAGCATCCGAAGCAAAATAATATTCAATACTACGATCATTGCCAGTAACTGCTAATTCCGATGCTGATTGATCAGTAATCATTAATGGAGGTGAAAAAACACCACGCAGATCTAAATAATGTTATTAGAATTATTAAATAAGCAAGAAATATTTGTATATATATATATATTAAAATCAAACAAGTATAGGAGCAAATATGAATGTATAAATCATGCAAAGAAAAAAGAAGTACATGCATCTATATTGTTTGCTTTTAATTTTTAACGAACACTATTATTTTTTTTTTGGCTCTTATTTACTTGCTGAAGTAGTTTCAACTAACTGAATATCATTACGTGAATCTTTGCTATTTTGATGATTGAATAAATCTATATGAAAAATAATTTATCAACAAGTTCTAACTTTAAAATCATACAACAATTATTCTTTTCTAAACAAAATCTACTATCACTTATATTTTGATCTACTGAAGTACAAAGAAAAAAAGAGTATTTAATAGAATTTTCTTTTTGTTCATGTTATATGAAAGCATTTTATATAGACGAATGTAAAGCAACACATAAATATAAACATGGTGGATTATAAATAATTAATAAGCTGGTAATAGAAACCATGCTATTTAATTATCAATCAGGTATAATATAGAAATCAACAACACATTTGTATTAAATTACCTTTGGTAAATCGAGGATTTGAAAGATCTAATATCTCATATTTCTCAATAAGATTTTTAAAATATTTCTTAATTATATCAATATTTACCTTTACTAAACATAACTGGAATATGACTAGTAGCTAATTGATCTGCACATTTAACTCCAATAACCATTGGACTTCCACGACTAAAACATAAAATTCTCTATTATTTATTAATTTAAATAAAATTTTTAATATACCGTGTAGCACATAATTCACCTGGAAAATGTGTACTTTTAAAAAGAAGTGCAAAAGCACCTTCCTACAAGACAAAAAAAAGTTATAAAATTCAAATAATGAAGAAAAAAAAATGATTTTTTTTTTTTAATAATTTACCAATTGTGAACAAGCCATTTCAATAAGTTTTTGAAAACTAATATTTTCATTTTTATGTTTATCATAAAGATATTTAACTAATTTGACAACAACTTCTGTATCAGTTTCTGATTCAAATTTATAACCTTTATTTGTCTAGAAGATAAAAATTAATTAATAAAAATTTTATAAAACAAAGCAAAAAAAAAGAAAAATCTCTCTCTTACAAGATATTGTTTAATATCTTTATAATTTGTTATAATTCCATTATGAACACAAACAAATTGATTTTGTTCATCTGAACGTTGTGGATGAGAATTAACTGCATTTGGTTCACCATGTGTTGCCCAACGTGTATGTGCAATACCAACATGAACAGTAAATTCTGCATCCCAATCAATATTTTCTAATGCTATTAAAAAGAAAAATTTTTAATTTTCTTTTAAGAATATTTAAACTTACATCTAACAACATGTTCAAGTTCTTCAACTTTTCCTTTCTGTCGTACAACAACACAAGCTCGTCTAGATTTTAATGATTGTTTGGTATCACTTCCTTCAACATCATCACCATCAAATGCAATACCTGATGAATCATAACCACGATATTCCAAACGATGAAGACCATTTATAAGAATATCAGCAATAAATCGACGATCACGTTTAACCAAATAATTCAAATAACCAAAAATACCTTTTAATTAAGAAAAAAAAACACAAATATATTCTAAATATTCAAGCGAAAAGGAAAACAAATTCACATACCACACATTGTTATTATTACTGTTTAATAATGATGGAAATCTTAAAAAAAGAAAAAAGAAAAAAACATTATTGTGTGGCACCAGTTGAAAGAAAATGATAGTGATGATGATAAAGTCGCTTTACTAGTGTAGTGCGTGGTATAAATGAATTCGACGACGAACGGCATCTTGTTGCTTTTCTCTTTTTCCTTTATGTACATGTTGATGACGACGACACGTATGATTAACGAAAAGAAAAAAAAAAAAAAGGAAAATATGTTTGTCGACGCATTTATATTTAGTCCGTTTCTTCTAAACCAATGCTAAATTATTTAAATTTATCTTTGTTTGAGTTATTTAACAATTAAATATTGGATAAAAAAATTTATTTAATAATACCTAAATGATTTTTAAAAGATATAAACGAAATACATGTCAATATCCAATTATTGAAAAAAATCATCAAAAATTATTCGAAAGAGAAAATGAAGTGCAAATACGAATATCAAATCATAGAATAACAGATACATTTCATATAATCAATTGATAAATATTTAAACGATAACTATAAACGATCAACAAATAAATTTATTTGATTTTTCTCTATTTTCTTCAATCGATTAAGATTTTCAACGTTCAATTAAGAGAAAATAATTGAAAGAAAGATTGAATTGATAATAATTAATTGAATTAGTAATAGAAACAGAAAATGAATTGTTATAAATAATAAGAAAAGTCATTTGGAATATTATCAATATTTTATCTAACCTAGAAACGGAAATAATAATACTTCATCAAAAATACAGGTCGTGATGATTATGTTAGGAAAATTTGGATCAAATATTGAACATAAAAGATCAATAAATCACAGTCGAAGATAAATTTATAATATTAATATTGTCTGTAAGAAAAATATAAAAAACCTTGAGAAAATCAAATGATTTTATTTCCAATGAAACAAAGCAAAATATATAAAGTAATAGTTTCTTATCAAAATCTATGAAAATTGAAATGTATAATGTTTAATGAGTTACTAAATACAAATTAAGATTAACATAAGTCATGGTAGTCTGTCATCAGAATCAGTTAAAATAAAAAATTAATTTTGATTATACATAATAGGTTGTACTCATTTCTTGATAAACGAAAATAATTATTTGATTTCTGCTGGAATGGTCATAACTCAAAAAGAAACACTTTCACGTCCTCGTTCCTTTCGACTTTCTTTAGACACAACAGAATATATATATGTATAAAGTAATAAGACTCATCTCAAAATCAATTTATCATTTGGTCGAATTCTCTCATCATCAAATCCCATCCAACAAGATCAATCTAATCATTAAAAAAAAAAACTTCAATTTACATAATTCAAATAATATATGTTCTATACAGTGCAAATTATCAAATATGCAGAAATATTCAAAACTTTCTTGACAGTTACAGTTCAGCATTTATCGTAATTACTTATCTTTTCTTTAAACACAATAATTCATAAATAACCAGAGAATAAAAATAGTTGACTATCTCTTCAGTCAGCATTAATCAATTGGGTTAACTCTTTTTTCTCTTAGCGATAGAGTACTCAGCAAAGTTTTTATTCAAAAAAGAAACTATAAAATAGATACTATTTTGAACTAGCACTATTAATCAAAAGTATCTCACCTATTCTTATGGCTAGATATGTGAAATTTCTAGCGTATAATACCTTAGAAATGTAGATCAGTGAGAGAGTAACTCGATCTTGTTGTTTGTTTGATCTGCGGAAGAGTTATGATCTATAGTAATTCCTATAAATTAAAAGAAGAAGGAACTTATAATTCGACAAACCTATCATTATGTAATCCTTTAATACAGCTATTTACGTTCTAAATTTCATCTAAGCATTCGAACGATGTGAATATTTTACATAATGATAAGTTGATCAGATAATAATCTCCTTGTCCACTTGAATTATACATAGTGATCGAAAAGTAACAAAATATAGATTTTTTTAAATAGATTTCTTCGTTGTACACGATCAGTTAGATCTCATATTTACAGCACATATACTAAGTGACACTAATAAGATGTAGCAGATGCTCAGTCTCTGGGTGCGATAATTTATTCAAAAGCGTACAAATAAATCTTACTACTTATCTATGACTATTAGAGAAATTCAATGTTTTTCAATTTCCATGGGTTTGTCTGCTTACCCCGATTAGATTATATTTTATGAAAATCAAACGAAGCTCAAAAAAACATCGAATTCAAGCGATCAAGACCGGGCTAACCTCGTTGGTCTACATTTCTAAAGTAGTACATATACTAAAAATTTTCAATGCTTAGCCTTGAGAACAACTGAGATCATAGAAAGATACTATCGAATAATAGTGTATATCTTTATTGAGATTAATAGCTCTAGTTTTAAACAGTATCCATTAACGATTTTCTTACATATAAAAGTTTTGAGAAATATTCTATTATTAAGAGAAAAAAAAATCCAGTCCGATTGATTAAATTAGACTGCATCTACTGAGTATTTTCGTTATCTCTCATTACAAATCACTCTATATCATAGAGAAAATTCACAATCAACAAAATAATAGAAACTACGTACAATTTTCCACAATCATAATTCTGTTTGATATTACACTCAATATGTATGTCAAAATCTATAATCTTTTCACAAAACACATTATCCTAGAAAAGATTTCTATTATTTATATCACACATGCATTAAAATAATAAATAAAGACAATTGATTGTTGTTTTTTTTTTTAAATAGTTTTATTCTTAACGGTCTAAAACAAGAATCGTTATGTGTATTTTTTTTTCTTTTCTTCTTGTACAGACAGAGAACGATCGAAAAATTAACTCTGTTTAAACATAAGAATTTTTGCTAAATTTTATTTTTAAACAGAACTTTGTACTGGTGGTTCATAACCATCGGCACGTTCAACTCGTTGACCACTTTCACCGACAGTTACACTACTATAACTTTCACCATGCATTTCCATAAGACGAGCAACTATATTAAATAAACATAAAATAATAATTCTAATGAAATTTTATTTTTCTTTTTCTCTTCTTACCATCGAATTTTGGTTTTTTGAGTACTTTTACTTTTCGAACGTTAACATTTTGTAATGGATAAATACCGCGACAAACTTTTTCAATTTCCGAACCAATACTATTTGGAATACTAAACAGAAAAAATATTAAAAAAGTTAAATAAAAAAAGAAAACTTACAGTTTGTTAACAACTTCTTTAAGTTCACTACCACCGATATCACGTGTCATTATTTCGACCATTTTTTTACGAATTGCTTTGATCTAAATCACAAAAAAAAAAAACTTTTTGGTTTTGTTTTGTTTTCCTATAAAGAATTCTTATTAAACAAACTTGTGTATGTTGTGCATATGATGTTTTCTTAATTTGGCCGCGCATTTTCATCGTAAAACCAATACAAAAGACACGTAAAAGATAACCATCAGATGTACGAATATCAGCTTGAGCTTCAATTAATGTCTTAAAATAAAATTCTTATTAATATTGAAAATTTATTGTATCGTTTCTTTGTTTTTTTACCTGCCATTTTTTTACAAGCATACGTAGACGATCTGTTGTAATATCCATACCATGAAAATTAGTTAAACAATGACGACCTTGTACATCTTCACAAATAAGTTTAAATTTACGATAGCTATCTTCATCATCGAGTTTAATTAAATCACCAAGTGATGATTCAAATACACGACCTTTCAAAGCATCTGAAGCAATTTCTATTAAGAACAAAAAAAATAAAATAAAATAATTTTTTAATAGAGAAGAAAAACAAAACAAAAAAATTAAAAAATATACTTGTGCCTGCTGTTCGTGTTACAAGCGTTCGGCCAATAGTACGTGTTTCAAAATTAGCTGGTGCTTTAATATCATACCAATCTTTTTTGGAAAAAGGATCAGCACTGAAAAGCAAAAAATCAAGCGATTAAATAATTTATTTAATAAACAAAAAAAAAAATAAGAAGTAAATCTTCGAAATAACATACACTTTCTTTTTGCCACCCTTTTTGGTACCTTTAGTAAGACGTTTGTTCTTGCCGATGGCCATTTTTTAAAATTAATCTTTAAGAATAAAAAAAAAAAAACAAATTATTTCAATTCAAACAAATAATATATTCAGTCGAATCTCAGTCCCGTCTTGAATACACTTTTCATAGAGTTTATAATCGTGTAAAAATTTTTCATCATTGATATCGACTGAATTATTTACATTTAAATATTTTAGAAAAAACCATAAGATACTTCTACACTATATTTACTAGCAATATTTTCATACACTTTGTGTGTATTACATACAAAAATAAAAAAGCATTGCACGTAGATCATGCTGATACATATTCTGTTGGAATATTGGTGTATATATATATGACAATAACAAAATAAATAGATATGAACAAGAAAATAAATTCAACAAATCTAAAGATCCCGAAAATAAATTTTGGATTGGTCCATAGTAACATTTATATGTCCTTCTTGAAAGAAACATCGGTATATATATTCTATGTTAAACATTTATGCAGATTATTTATTCTACAATATTGATTGGTCTAAATTTTTTACCTTATAACGTAGGAAGAATAACACGACATAAATATTTTTATAATCATCTGATTTTCTTTTTCTTTAACGAGAAAAATGATTGTAATGATAATATACGTTTTGTTATTTTGTTTTTAGATATTGCACATGGAAAATCATTTATATCTAATTTTGATCATTAGTCTTTTTCAATTAATTACTATATCATATTCACTCTATTTTCACATTGATGAAACAGAACGAAAATGTTTTATAGAAGAAATACCTGATGAAACATTAGTTATTGGAAAATATAGAGTTGAATTACTTGATGAAAATACAAATACATATGGTGCAACACCATATGGAATTGGTATGAATGTAGAAATTAAAGACCCAGATGATAAAATAGTCTTATCAAAATTATATACAAGTGAAGGACGTTTTACATTTACATCACATATGCCTGGTGAACATCTTATTTGTTTATATTCAAATTCAAGTGCATGGTTTGGTAGACAAAAATTAGTATGTATTTATATCTTAAGAAATATTATTAAAATTTTAATTGACATGTTTTTTATGTTTCTTCTAGCGTATTCATCTTGATATTGATGTTGGTGAACATGCAATAGATTATCAAGAAATTGGTGCACGTGAAAAACTTACGGAACTTCAATTACGTATTAGACAATTATTAGATCAAGTACAACAAATGTATGTTAGATATATATATATATATATATATAAAGTTTTTTTCTTTCTAACGTCGAAATAGATACTAGTTACATAGAAGAAAAAAAAAGAAAGTTGATTATTACCGTTAAGGCTGCGTCCTCTCAGGCATTTTTTGATAGCAGTTTATCAGAAAATTGTAAAATTTTCAGAGTAGATGAATCTTAATGCGTAGAGAAAAAGTTGTCATAGATTCAAATTTATAAATACTTTTTTCTAGGAGATATCGGGATCGCAAAAAACTAAAACTCACTATCTTAATAACCTCACTTTCTCAACTACAATACATCTGATAGAGTTGACATTTGGTTTTAGAGATATTAGACATTGCTTGTAGTGCGTTCTTTATATCTCCTATCATTCTAATAACAAGGTCAAAATACTCAGCGTACTCCTTAAAATACATGTTTTTTTCTTTGACCGACCTTTTTTCCAGTATAAGTAGAAGAAAGTTTCATCTGTGGTTGGGAAATGACAGCTATTCCTTACTTTATTTTTGTTAAAAAGTTCATTTTTCAAAAACAACGAAAGACTATGTAAATTTTAATGTTTCTCAGAAAAATACTTCGACATATCTATCGAGTAGAAAGAAACAAAAAAAAATCAAAACATTTTCGTTCAAGAAAGTAAAGGGTATACTATCGATATTTTGTTAATCAACCAAGTATTTTGATAAAAGTACTTCTTGACATTTTATCTGTAGTAAATCTTTTTTCTGGTATGAATAGAAGAAGACTTTATTGCAATAAATGCAACTATTTCGGTCATGTACGAAAGAGAAAAATATTGAAATCGTTTGATTTTTTTTTCTAGAGCAAAAGAACAAAATTATCAACGTTATCGTGAAGAACGTTTTCGTGCTACAAGTGAATCAACAAATCAACGTGTTTTATGGTGGTCATTTGCTCAAGTAACTGTTTTAGTCATAGCTGGATTTTGGCAAATGCGTCATCTTAAAGGATTTTTTCTAGCTAAAAAACTTGTTTAAACATTGTTTTTTTTTGAATTTTTCTTTATTATTTAATTTTAATAATCTCGTGGTGTTAGGATTGCAACTAACCTCAGCTAGTTTCCAATTAATATATTTTTTTTTGGTTTATTCTGTTTTAGAAAATTTTCTCTTAAAAAAAATTTAAAATCCAAAAAAGAACAAATTGTCTTATTTTTTTAATATTTGATATTCAATGATCGCTCGAGGTGTTCGAAATGTTATTTATAATTATACTGATGCTCAACGCAAAGTTCGATCGGCAACATCGAATGATGCATGGGGTCCATCACCAGCACTTATGCATGAAATAGCTGATTTAACTGATAATGTTGTTGCCTTTTCTGAAATCATGCCAAGTAAGTCGATTATTTATATGAAGCTTCCTATCTGCCTCCTCAAAATATGATTTTTATGCTATTACATGGTATTAAATTGAAATTTTCTATACATGTTGAGATTAACTACTCATGTTTCTATCAGGGCGAGAACAAATTCATTACTCATGTTGGAGTCTTTGGTGTGTCTGACATTATTCAACTGCTCCAAGAGGCAGAATCAATTTTCTTTTTCTTTTTCAATTTGAAAAATGACATTTACCGCTAAAGACTCATAGTCCTTTTTGATACTTTTTTTTCTTTGTTGAGATATACATGAATCGATGAAATTGCAAAATTCTATTTAAAAAAAAATGATTGTCTTCTTTGATTAAGACCTATTTTGAGAAAATACACTCGAGAGTCACTAGCTCTAAGCGTCAGCTTCAAAATAAAAAAAAAAAAGAAAGACTCTATCTCTTGAACTGTTCGAATGACGGTGAAGATACTAAAAAAAATTTCAATATTTCCAACATGTACAATAAAATTCTTATTGCTTCGACATATGACAAGAAATCGAACTGAAATTTTTCCGAGATATAATGGATGAAGTACTTCAATCTATCAACAAAAAAGAAGGCTCGTTCAGTGATGAAATTGTTAACCTCTCGAAAGTAACTTTCATATTTCTAGAATAGTTGATTAGGATGCCAAAAATGGATTGCAGTTCAAATTAATTAGTTAGTCCTCATTCTGACTATACACGGCTGACTTAAAACTCGATATTATACGTCCTCTATGAATGTCTATCATTTGCCACACATTCTGGTTCCCTGAATCAATATCTGAATAAATCCATATTTGGGGATAAGTAAAAACTTAGTCAATTCTGGTGACCAAGTAGGAACTTAAATTTAGGGATTTTTTTCAAAATAAGATACATTATACAATGGCCTATGATAGTTCCTAGTCCTATAAGTCAGTACTTTTTCGAGGATTAGATCCAACCACTAGTTCCTTTTTTTTTTGAGAACTAGTTTCAGTCACTAGTTGTTTTTTGAAAGAATTGGAGCTAGAACTGGTGATCAGATCTGGAGCTGATAACCAGTTCTCTTTGAAAGAACTGGAACTAGTGACCAGGTTTGAGAAGAGAATTGGAATTGGCGACCAGTTCTTTTTGAGAGAACTGAAACTGGTGACGAGTTCTTTTGCTTTGATTGCTAGAACAACTACCGAATATGATCGGCAGTCTAGCATTGTCAATAGAACCAGTTCATTTGAAAAGAACTGGTCACTGGATCCAGTTATCAATAAAAGAACTGATTGTCAGGACTAGTTCTGAAAATAAAAAGTACTAATTTGTGGACCAAGTTCTCGAAAAAGTAACTGACTCATAAAACTAAGAACTTTCATAGGCCTATGTATAATATATCTTATTTTGAAAAAATTCCCAAATTTAAGTCTTTACTTGATCATCAGAATTGACTAAGTTTTTACTTATTAATAAATATGGATTCATCAAGAGATTGATTGATTCAGGGAATCAGCATGTGTGGCAAATGATAACCGGCTGCTTAGTTTATGACTAAGACACTTTACTCAAAAGCAATATTCGAGCGCGTCAAGAATTGTTTGTTTTTGACTGAAATTCAACCAGTTTAAACCTTCATAATTAGGTTTTCTATTAAAACAAATGATATATTTCAAATCAACATGAGAAACTGAGTCGATCTATGTATGTCACAAAATGATCTATCAGCTTTCATTTTCTTTCAAAAATTCAGCCCTGGTCCTCCTCAAGGATACGCCAAAACATAAACTCAAAATGCTAGCTGAATAAATGGGTAAAAATGAAGTTTTGATTGAGTTTATTTTTTGGCGTATTCTTGAGAGGACCATAGCTAGATTTTTAGAGGTCAATGTAACATGCATAGATCAACTCAGTTTTTCATAGTGGTTTCAAATATATCATCTGTTTTAATAGAAAACCTAGCTATGGAGATCGAAACTGGTCAAATGTCAATCAAAAAAAAAACAATTTATGGCACGCTCGAATATTGTACGTTTGAATGAAGCATTTTATCTGCAAACTAATGTCGGTGTAATACCAACACTCTGTAGAAGTTCAAAAGAGCTATTGAATAGTATGTAATTCACGGTGAAACGCTGCTTTCATAGTATCATAGAAGGAAAATTTGATCGTACCTTTATACTGTATATATGAGTGAACGGTGTCATCTAAAGAAAAAATAGAACAAAGATATTGTGTCATGATTTCTATATATCATTCGATAGCGGAAAGAATGAGTTTTAATTTGACATATAATTCAAATTAAAAGTGTTGAAGAAAGAAGAAAAATATTTCAAACGAACGCTGCATATCATGACCTTATAAGGAATAGGATAACATCGAGTTTTAAGTCAGCCGGAATGACGACTAACTGATCAATTCGAACGGCAATCGACTTCTAACATTTGAATTGACTATTTGGAAAATATGGAGGTTGATTTCGAGTGGGAGCTGATTTCATCGCTTAACGATTCCCCCCTTTCAGCTCAATATTATATACTCGATCGAGAGATCCAATTTGGCAAACATACGAGATCGAAATCGATTGAAGTTTCGATTTTGAATTGGAAGAGGAGAAGGAGAAGGACTTAAAATATCTTATTTTTAGTTATATGGAAACGTTTAAATGATCATGGTAAAAATTGGCGTCATGTTTATAAATCTCTTGTTTTACTTGATCATTTAATAAAATTTGGCAATGAACGTGTTAGTCAACAATGTAAAGAAAATATATTTGCTATACAAACATTAAAAGATTTTCAATATGTCGAAGATCAAAAAGATCAAGGTTTTAATGTACGTGAAAAAGCTAAGCAATTAGTTGCTTTACTTAAAGATGATGAACGTTTACGTAATGAACGTCGAAAAGCACAAGAAGCTCGTGAACGTTATGCACGTCAAGCTATGGGCTTGGATTCAAGTGGTGCTATTACATATGGCCGCCCATCAACTTCAACATCAATGCGACGTAATAGTGCTGAAGGTGGGGATTATTTTAGTGCAACACCATATCAATCAAATCAATATCCAACAAGTTCAACTGCACATCGTTCATCATCACTTAGTGAAAATCTTTATGCAGCTTCAACTCAAGATTTTGTTCAACCAACTAATCAAGAAGAAGAACAATTACAAATGCAAATTGCATTAGCTGAATCACAACGTGAAGTAAGTTTAAATGAGATGAACTGAAAATTTATCATATTTTTATTTTTATAGGCTGAAGATGAAGAACGTCGTCGTCGTAATGATGATTTAAAACTTAAAATTGCATTAGAACGATCAGTCAATGAATCATCACCAGATGCATTTAATTCTCAAGTAAATAAATTCTTTCTTAAATCATTTATAACGAAAAGCGGTATAAAGAATTTTCTGTTGTCGAATAATAAAATAGAAAAAAAAAAGAGAAAAGTCCAAACGAAAAATAAAATTATAAAAAAAAAACATTGTCGACATTATTGAATAGCAATTTGCTATTTGTGTTTAAACATAATTTCAAGCATAGGAAATCGAGATTGAATATTAATCAAAATATAGTTTCATAAGAAGCTCACGTATTAAATTCATATACAAACATGAAAAGTTTTTAACGCATATTAAACGATATCCTTCATAAAAAGAAAAATGTTAGATCAATGATGACAATTAGAGATCTCAAAAGTGGATAAACTATTTTAGTAGGAATTAAGTCAATAAGTCATGTTTTGCAATAGACTAAAAGAAAATTAACCAATAATTCATTTTTATTTTTGTTTGAGCCAATTCAGAAATAAAACATCAAAGATGTTTTTTGTTTTATCATTTTAGAAATTTGATTTTTATCCACAACTTAATCCTGTGGATCCATATCAACAACCTCATCCTTTGGATCCATATCAACAACCTCATTCTGTTGATCCATATCAACAACCTCATCCTCTTGATCCATATCCAAAACCTCATCCTCTTGATCCATCTCCATTTGACACAAATTATCAACATAATGATCCATATTTACCATCATCAACAACATCTAATATCGGTTGGAATCTACCAAATGCTCGTCCATCAACTCATCTTGGTTTTACAACTGTTACAAGTATAAACATTAATTTTTATTCTCTTAGTAAATATTTAATTGATTTATTTATTTTTTTTGTTCTCTTCTAGATGATCCATGGTCATCAGAACCAAGTGGTCGTAATTCTGCAATAGCAACAACAGGAACAAATGATCCATGGCAAGTAACAACACATTCATCGACTACGCAAGCTAATCCATGGACTGAAACGAAGCCTACAACAACTAACAATGGTACGGGTCTTTCTCTTAATATTGGTGATCCTTGGGGTGTTGGTTCAAATAATTCTCAAACAACAAAAACAACTTTACCTCCAACAGCAACTACTTCTAAAGCAATTGATAATGAATTAAGTGAATTTTTTGGAGCTAGTGCAAGTAATATTTGTTATATTTTACAGTATATACATATATATATATATATATATTTATATTTCTCATAGATATCTCAACATCTAATAATTATCAACAACAGACATCATCAAATCCATGGAATATGCCATCATCAAATTTGCCATTAATACCTAATAATTCAAGTTCAATTTCACCACAGAATACTGGCTTTAATGTTGGTGGTAATATACTTTATCCAACAATTGCTAGTGGAAATAATTCCAATAATCCAAGTCCACTTCCATCAGGATTATCAACATCTCGTAAAACACCTGAAAGTTTTCTTGGTGAAAACTTTGGTAATTTAGTTAATCTCGATAAATTGGTTACAGATAAAAAAAGTAACATAAAAAAAAATAGGACGAATATATAAGAGTCATTTTTCGACTATCTCTTGATATTAATCAATCGAATTCGAATCCAAAATTTTAATCGATCGAGTCCGGTTTCGAAAATTCTTGGACCCGATGGACTCTACCACGTAGTCTCTTGAAATCTGCTACTTTTCCTTCGATACATTTATGATACAAAAGTAACTATCAATATTTTGAGCAAAAGTGAGCCTAAACTCTTTGGAAATAGCCTTATTTTGTTACTAAAATATGTCTCGTAAAATTTTGCATTAGACAAGTTATGATTTTGAGAAAACTGATGATGACCGAAAAATGACTCTTATGCATGGTCTCTGTCCTTTCTTCACATTCATCTATTTATTTATTTATTTATTTTATTTCCAGCTACCAATCCATTTGGAACAACTGCTACACGTGCTCAAAATCCATTTACTAATATAATGAAACCACCAACACTTGATCAATTAAGTTCAACAAATAATCCTGGTTTTACTAGTGGTTCACCATTACCACCACCACTCATTCCTTCGTCATTTAATACAAATACTGCAACGCTCAACACAAATAATCCATTTATGTGAAACTATTGATCTTCCTGACATTTGTTGTTTTTTTTTATTGCTAATCTTCCGTGAAACAAAATCAAACAATAAAACTCTTTTTTTTTTTTGTTCTCTGTCTTTTTTTTAGTTCTAACTGATATTGTTAAGCGAGCTTGTATCATCGTGCTAATAATTATTTCTAGAATCTCTTTTTTTTTTTTTCATCTGTATAATATATGAAACTGATATACAAATCGTTTCCTAATCAATTTAAAAAGCCAAAGAAAGATTTTTTTTTTCTAAGTGTACATTAATGCTAACAAACTTTTTTTTTTTTCATACGAATATAGTTACTTGTATTTTTTTTTCTTTAAGACAATAAAATAAATAGATAAAACAAGTTTTTCTTTTTTTTTCGTTTGGTATAGTCAATTAATATTTAACTTTTCTTCTCTTTCTAGATGGCTACAATAGCCATCGTTGAGGATGAAATATCAACTAGCCCACCAACACCATCAATGTTTGCTGCACCCGATCCAGATATAAATCAATCATCATTTGATCGAAATGAAACAATTGCTCCTATTCTATCTTTTGGTTTAATAACAGATATTCATTATGCTGATCATGATGATCGATGGAATTATGTAAAAACACATTTAAGACGTTATAGAAATGCAGCAAAATTAGTCAATGAAGCATGTAATTATTGGTTAAATGGCAAATATCCAATATCATTTATACTACAACTTGGAGATATTATTGATGGAATTTGTTCTACAAATAAAACATCAATCAATGATTTAAATATGATATTAGAACAATTTACAAAGAATTTTAAATCTTTACCTATTTATCATATATGGGGTAATCATGAATTATATAATTTTACACGAGAAGAATTAATAAATGGACCATTATGTTCATTTGATACAAAAGATACATCTCCAGCACATTATGGAACATTTGAAGTATGCCCTAATTTAAGAATTATTGCACTTGATACATATGAATTCAGTGCATTAGGTATTGAACATGATAGTGAAGCATATATTCAAGCAACAGAATTATTAAAAAAACATAATCAAAATGAACAATTGAATGATCCAACTGGTTTACGTGGACATCAACGAAGATTTGTACAGTTTAATGGTGGTATCAAATCAAAACAAATGGACTGGCTAAAAGAACAATTAACTGAAGCTAAAAATCGTAATGAAAAAGTTATTATTATTGGTAATATATGATTTATTTTCATTTTATTTTACAACTATTTTCTAAACTTGAATAGATCTATTACATGTAGGAACAAATACTAAAGATCTCGATTATGAGAAGTTTTGTAAAACATGATCTTAAAATGATTGTTCAAGTAGAGGGGGTAGAAATTTGTATCCCTCTCCTTTACACTAGAACTCATGAGGTCCAAACTATTCGGATACAGGTTAGACCGTGTCCGAGACCAACTCGACGAGCTCTGACCGTGACAGACATCACCATGAAAACATCACAGATCGTGGCAGACATCTTAGCAACGCTCTTGTTCATCACAGTCTGTAACAGAGTTACCAGAGAAAAATAGTTCAGGTCTTTAGTTTATTGCTGCGTAGATAATACAAATTTACAGTAGTTTTAAAAATGAATGCTGTAGTCTCTCTCAGGAAACTAGACAAAATGATCTTCGAATTTCAGCTTGTAATTTATTTGTTAAAACTTCAGATCTTTTGATAGTTCTTCTATCCTGAAATAAGAACATTGAATCTGTCGTTATATACGGTCCACGCCCATTGAAAGTATACCCTTCGAGTTTTTTGTTTTTTATTAATATACGTTTCTTATATATTAACCTACTATATATAGGAAGAAAGTCAGAAATGCGCTGCATCTTTTGGTATATTTACATTGACCATCAAATGCAGTTTGAAGTATAAAAAGTGTATCAGAAAAAAAGTGACATTTTTTCTTTTACCAAATTTCAGGTATCCGTACTGGTGTAATATGTTTTTGATTTCGCATATATCTCGACTTAGGTAAATGATAAAACGTTGAATTTT